GTTTTGTTGTGATGCTATTTTGACCAAACATATGTCAATTTTGTACATTTATAATTGATGGAAAACTCAATTGTATCTTTCACGACACTCCATGGTCCCCATTTTCGAAATGTTTGCCATGTTTCCCTACAACACATGGCAAATTTCTAACTTGTCATATGGCAAAAATATGATGCTGGATACACATGGATGGTTTTGATATTTGCCATGGCAAAAATACATTTTTCGTATAAATTTGTGCCATAATTATGGTATGGTATGGTATTGGAAGTTTTCATGGCAACATTTTCCTTTCTGATGTTATAAGGTTGATGGGAATTTTACGAAAATAAAGTTTGGTCATGGCAAATGTAGGATACTTTGGTATATGACACAATGCAAATGTAGGGATACTTTGGTATATGACACAATGCAAATGTAGGGATACTTTGGTATATGGGTCATGGCCAATGTAGGGATATAAAACTTGTACATTATATATAAAACACATGGCTATTTTTATTTACACATTGCAATTTCGTTAGATGACACATGGCAATTTTTGGAGATGTCCATGTCCAAAATGTAATTAAGTTTGCCATGCCTCATCTACAAAAGATGGCAATTTTAATTCAAATACCATAGCAGTTTTTAAGTTGAAAATACCATGGTAAATTTTCATTTGCATCTGCCATGGCAATTCTCTACTCCTATAAAAAGCTGAGTTGATGATGATGATGTGCCTGCCATCCTTCATTTACAACCGTTCAATTTACATCCAACGCGTCTAAGACAAACTATGCCAGTTTTGCAAAAGACCCCCGCACTCCACTCCTCGTTTGTAGATAACCCGTGTCTCTCACGTTCAACCATCTCTCCCTCTCACCTTATCTAGCTATCTCAGGAAAAAAAATAAGAAGCATCTGGAGAGGTCGCTGCTCTCGGTGCTGACTGCCCCCAACGCCTCTCATTCCTTCTCTCAGGCTGCATTGCCGACCACCACCATGACCTCTTCCAAGTCATCATGTGTTACATTCATGGCGGTCTAGAAAAAATAAACAAAATCGATATTCAAAAAATAATTTTTAAAGATAATTTTTTGCAAAGCACAACAAGTGTTATTTCTTCATGAAGTTTTGGATGCAAGTTGAACACTTGAATGCTTTTGTTTGCACAAGATATTTTTAAATCTATTTTGCTTCCATTTACCATTCACCCACATGGTTGTGAGCTCTAGAAAAGAATAAATATCTGAAGAAACCTATTGATATTTGTTACACATGAGATGACCCCCACATACTTTGTCAAATAAACAACTCCCGGATCAATGCATTCAGTGTTCCATGCGTTGCACTCGCATCTTACTAGTTTTGTCCATAATTTTGTGTTATTGTACATACACGACAAATTTTTCACACAAAACACAACAATTTTAATTAAAATACCATGAAATTTTTTTCATGGAACCATAGCATATCTAGTCTATATATCATGGCAAATTTTGACATGCTTCAACTTTTTTTTACTTTTTAAGATATGTTTTGAATGATTCCATGTTGATTTTTTTATCTTCTAACATTTACCATGTCTCAAAATTTGAGTATTTGACATCTCGACATTTTTTGTCCATAGTAAATTTCTTTTTGTAATTGCAACTAGACATATTTGTTGTTCTCATGGCATGTTTGCCATGCTGTTTTGTACATGTCATGGCATGGCAATTTCTTTCCTATGGAACCATGGCAAATCTAATCTATATATCATGGAAAAATTAGTGTATGGAGCATGACAATCTTAGTTCATGGACCATGGCAAATACATTTCATTTATCACATGGAAATTTTACTTGAAGAGAATGGCAATTTTTTTCGTTATGCAAAATGATTTTCTTTTCTTTTCTACTGGACCTTGGAAAAATTAGTCTATTTTTTCATGTCAAAATTCAGTTTATGTATCATGTCATTCTTTTTAGTGTGCAACATATACCGTTTACGGGTCATTCCAATTTTTTCGAACGATGGCAAGTTTACTGGAGCAAAGCAATTATATTAATTAGCCCATGGTAGTTTTTGTAGGTAAAATGGCAATTTCATTATTTATACCATGGAAATTAGTTTAATTAGGTATCAACTTTTTACTTTATAGACCACGATAGTTTAATTGTACGTATCATGGCAATGTTATAGTTTCTACTATGACAATTTCATTAATTAGAACAGGGCAATTTCTTTCTGCATAAACACCTTATGGACCATGAAAAAATACCAAAAAAGATGTCCTGTTTTTAGTGGAAAAAATCCTAAATTTGCCATCTTTTCCAAAATAATTGCCATGTACCCACTACATTTTTTCAAAAAGTTTCCCTAGGTTTTTAGTGAAATAATCTCCTAAATAGGCCATCTTATAAAAAACTTCATAAATTTTCCATGTGTAAACTTCTCATTATAGGTCGTATGACAATTTATTACTTAGGTATGCTAATTTTATGTTTAAGATCATGAAATTTGTATTAATTGGCTGATGGAAAATTTTATTTTCGTCGCGAGTTCTTTATTCTTTTGTATAATATAGTCATCATACAATTTGCAATTCCAACACAATTTTGCTATGGAAATTAAACATTTGTTGCCATGATACTTTCAAATGATTTTTAACATATAGACTTGTATACGTGTTGCCTTGATTTTTAATAGTTTTTAAAATATACCATGTTAAATATATATATTTTTAGAGTTTGGCATTTGTATAAAGCAGCATGCCGATTTTTCATAAATCGGTACATGGCATCTGACATGTTCGATGTGGAGGCTTTTTCGAGCCAATTTTTCATAAATCGGTATCGAGAGGCCTCCACATCGAACGTGTCAGATGCCGGCTCCTATTTGGCGCATAGGGTGTTGCCTAGTGCCCTAGCGCGTACCCCACCCTGGATCATTCGCACAGTGCGCTGGCTCAGTTTCCGGGATTCTCATGTGCATTCTCACCCGGCTTTGGGAAGGTTCTAGAACCTTCTCGGAACTGGGTTTTCTTTCTTTTTTTCCTTTTTTGTCCCGGTTTTTCTTTTATTTTTTACTTTTCTCTCTTTTCTTCTTTACTTTTTCACTTTTTGGCAAAAATAAATAAATTCACAAACATTATTTTGTTCATCAGATTAAAAAATATATTTAACAATGTAAATATGTTCTTAAATTTAAAAAATGTTCATCGAATACAAATTTTGCTCATTGAATTTGAAAATTGTTCATTGAAATAAAATAATGTTCAACAAATTCTAAATTTGTTAATCTTATTTTTCAAATGTGTTCACCAATTTTAAAAAAAAATCGTTGAATTCAAAATTTGTTCATTCATTTTTCAAAAAACTACGTTCTTGAATAAAGAAATTGTACATGAAGTTCAAAAAATGTTCACCGACCTTTGAATTAGCAAATACTTCTTTGAAATTTAAGACAATTTTTGAATTCACGAACAGATTTTTCAATAAGCGGTCATTTTTTAAATATTTTTAAGCCACGGACATGTTATGATTTTTGGAACATTTTCCCAAAATCTTTTTTTGTCTGAAATTTTGAACTTTTTCAATACTCTGAATTGTTTCAAAGAAGAAAAACAGAAAATAAATAAAAAATGTGGAATAAAAAAACTGGGGCGCCCAACCCCACTTATGGGCTGGCCCATGAGAGGCGCGCAGGAGGGGAGTGGGTGCACGCTGGCATGTTCGCCAGCCCCCCATGCGCGAAATAGGAACTCCCGTGTGAGATGGATATACCAAATTCAACCCCTCAAAAGCCCGTAGACACTTTTGTGCGTGTCGGCGGACAATGACTGGTCACGGCTCAGATAATCTTTTCCACACCCGAATACCTCAATTAAGAAATCTCAAATCTAGCGGCCGGCTGCGCCCCTCGAAGTGTTGCTTCGGTCGCCGGTGAGGTAGAGTAGGACATGGGACACACACCGACTCACGAGACTCAAGGCGCCGTCGTTTCCCATGGCCCACTCTTCCTCGTCAGAGTTGGAGCCTTGACGATGCCGATCGATGTGAGGTCGATGACGGGTCCGTTGTGGTCGGAGGCCACGCCCACCAAGACATGGCAGCAACGCCCGGGATTGCAGGCCATCCGTTGAGGCGTCAGAGAGTGCGACTCCGCCTCGACGATGTCTGCTGTGAGGGTTGCCATGGCCTTGGCACCCTCTACCTCGCAGGGCGGGCATGTCGCACCATACACTCAGCGGACGGCCCACAGATGGCCTCGTTGTTGTCACGCCAACAAAGGGGTTGTGCGTCTGCCATGATGTTTGGATGCCAGACAGAGCGCATTACCTCCGGAGAGACAATGACAACCTACCTCACCTGGATCCACGCGCCATTTGGGTGGAGGCGATAGATTCGAGGCAGATCGAGTCCGACCGTTGTCGGGAATTCTCCATGCGAGCGCGGCAGAGCGCAATGCAGATGGCCATCACCTCCTTGGGCCCGACTGGGATGAGGTCCCAGTTCACGGATTGGCTGACGAAGGACTCAGATTCACTACCCGCCATGCCAGAGAAGGTCGGAGATCGACAGACGGGGCCTTAGGTGGCAGAGTGGACTAGAGGGAGTGGAGTGGAGTAGGTAGGGTTTTGGACCGGGGAGCGGATGGAGACGATTATATATGGGGTCGGGGTGGGCCGGCTCCGGCATGGAGGACGTGCCCGGGCGTCCTCATACCCGCCTTAGATTTGGATAAATATGAGGGGTGTCGGTCAGTCCGGACATTTGAAGCCTGTTTGAGGCATCAGTCTGGGTCACATTTTTTTGAGTGGTTGGTCGTCCGCTTGGGCGTTTGAGAGCGGCTTGATAAGAATACGAGATTCAAATTCACTAGGAAGAAATAGCTGCCGGAAGCACAATATTGTGTGGGCAACATAATAATAACATGTAAACAGTAATTTGGTATGTCAAACAGGCTGCACAATCCAAAGTCGGGTGATAACTAAAAACGACAAGGAAAGAAAACCCCTTGTGAATCTAAACTAATCTATGGATTGGCGGGGAGCATCCAGAATGCCTTGTCCGAGGACGGAGCATCATCCAGCTTGTGCGTCTCCATGCTACCATCTTTTACACTGAAAATGTGCAAGGTCTGCTCCCAAGGATACGCCATGTAGATGCAGTTCTCTCGCAGTCCAGACTTGCCGACAGAGCAGAGAGCACCAGAGTTGAACAGGGACAAGAGGAACGCCCGATCACCAAGATCATACACTTTTCTCCATCTCTGCCTTGAGAAATCCATCCTATGAACTCTTGCACCATAAATTGTTTTTGCCGTTGTGACGAATAACAAGGAAACCATATAGAGCTCCCCGTCCGATTCCACCAGAAAAACTTGAGCTGGAGCCAGTTCAACACCGTAGATATCATCGACCACGTCGTTCATCTTGATGGAACTGAATATGGGAGCAGGGCAGAAATCAACAACACCAAGCTCGATTTGTGTGCTGTTGAAATAAAACTTGCCCCCGCATGCCGCGATCGGAGTTATGACCTCTTTGTCCTCGGATTGCAGGTCGAGGGCCGGCTGGGTTCCGATGTAGTAGTCGTGTTTCTCCCACTGATCGTCTCCGATATGACAGTACCAGATGAGGGTGGCGTAAGGCTCGACGAGAAGCACGACGGAGTTGGGAGCGGTGGGCTTGTTGGAGAGCAGGCAGGTGCAGTCTATGAACAGATCATGTTCGATTGGTAACGGCGGCAGCTCGATCTTGCCGCCTCGGTTCTGGGGACTCCACAGGAAGGTGGACGCGGAGGCAGGGCACCTGACCAGCATGAAGCCGTGCGTGGCTGGGCAGATCTCCTTGCCCTTCAGCTCGTCGATGTCGTCGGCGATCGTCTTCTTCTCCGACACGTGGAAGATCGGCGTGGGTCGGCCCGCGCCGTGGTGGAAGGCGAGGCACGGCAGAGACCCGGCCAGCGTGCGACTCGGCGACATCATGGTGTAGAGTATCTCGCGTTGATGATTACTGAGCTACGGTGGCGGTGGACGAAAGCGGCCGGCGGAATAGAGGTTGCTCGACCTGCCACGACCCGCTTCTTAAATAATCGGGAGCTTAGAAGAAGGTCGAATTGGCTGACAAATCTTTCAACGTGTTCAACGTGGAGGAAGGGACTGCGGAGCGGCGCGACATCGGAGAAGCTTACGCTTCCGTTGCAAAACATGGGACCAACCCCCAGCATCCTATGCTTGGAACACAGCACAGAATGCTATGGATGCATGGTTCCAACCAGCCTCTAAGTTTGTTTTAGACAAACCAAACTCTAAAGCTGTTGCACTTAGTTTAGTTTGCCTTTCTTGTTTTGTTGTTCGACAGCAATGGGGATAGTATCATCTTTGAATTATGTTGTCGCAAATGATCTCATCCACAAGAATAGTAAAAAAGATTGGATTGTATTTTTCTTGTTCTTAGTAAGAACTCCCCGGCCCGTCCCATAATAAGTATCGTTGATTTAATACTAAATTTGAATTACAAACAACACTTGTACTATATCTTGTATATCAGACTAGCACATATGCCCGTGCGTTGCAACGGAAAAAATTGATGTTTTGTGCAAGTATAATGTCCCACAGCACCGGATTCACTATGAAAAAAATGCTTCAACGCTCCTTCTATAAAATGAACATAAAAAATACGATGCAATTTAGCCGTGTTCATATTTTCTTTGTTGGGCATAATCTCCCACTGATTCCATCTAAGTATAATCCTTCCTTTAGTTACCGTGACGTCCTCACCCGTTTTAGTCAGGAATCAAATCCTTCATTCTCTAATTTAATATCCCCAACACATTGAAGCATACATAGCCTTCTTTTTAACTATCCTACCTTTTTACCTCAAGTCCTTTCTTTAATTAGCCTCATCTATTTGAAAATTCTATTTATTAAGACCACAATCTTTCTTTTAATTAGTCCACCAGTTTACCCATAGTCCTTTTTTTTAATTAACCACATCCATTTAAATATTTTATTTAAGTCCACAATTCTTTCTTTAATTAGCTCATTCGCTTAAACACGAGGACCACCACTCATATATTTAGAGCGAGTTGGGATTTAGTAAATATGAATGACGCATAGGTTGTTGCATCGAAGATCCAGACAGGAGGTCCTGTTTAAATTCCCATAATGTTAATTTATTTTGACCTAATTATTTTTCGCAGACTCTATGAAGCCCATAAAAGGCCCATCGAAATGAACAGGACTAAACCAAACCAAGAATATATATTCCCTTTAATAGTTGGACTGAACTAAACTAAAAATATCTATTCACTTTAATAGTAGGTATAGATATATTCCCTGCCGGGCAAATAAAAAGGAAAAGAAGATATGTTCCGAGTTGGTACCTAAACCATTATGCCTAAGTCTGACTGGTCTTTCCTTCTAAGATGGGTTATCCCAGTTATTGATAAAATTACACTTTCTCTAGAAAGAAAAATGGTTCAAATCATCAGTTGATTGGAGGAAACTTCCAGACTCCTAGGGTTAGACCATCTCCAACTGCGACTCTCAAACTACCTGCAACCGTCCAGACCGCACAGACAAGATGTACTTTCACCCGTAAATCAGGGACAAATGTGGGTTGGCTTTGCGGGCGTCCGGACAGCATCCAAGCTCGCTTCTAACCACACTGGCCCACCCCAAACCCCCTCCTCCCTCGACTGCACGTGTTCCCGTCCGACGCCAGCTGCCCGCATTCATGCCGCTGTAGAGCGGTCGCTCCACATGGAAGATGGCTCAGGGCGGACACGACCTCTGACCGCGTCCGCAATTGAAGCGACGTGCTGGCCGAGGGCGCTGGCCGCTGCACGCCCAGCCGGTAGAACACGCCTCCTCACCATATTCAAACGCCTCCATTAAACCTGCATGGAAGTCGAGAAATCTATTTTGGCCACATATCCGTTCACGAGCGGTTCGACATTAAACACAGAGAGAATTCCCTACTTAACATTGTCTTAAATTTTCTTTCCCTATTTGACACCGAAAAATATTTTCTTCCCTATGTAATACCGAGTCTAAATTTTATGCCCTGTATAACACTTTCGTCCATTTTACGCCTTCACGGTGTTAAACGACACCTAAAAAGACCTTTTTACCCCTCATATGGTATGTGACCAAAATTAAAATAGATGCTAATAATGGCAAAGAAGACATGTCCAACCAGCTTGTTTGTTGTATGCTACATAGCTGACTAGCTGCATGTGTTTATCCAGCCGGTTCGGTTGCTAGGTGCGTGAGCCAACTTTAAAAGAAAATCAATCAAGTGATCCCGTTAGCTCTTGTGTACAGCGTGTACAAGTACTGCCTTGCTGTTGTGGCCAGGATGTGCATGATGCAGGCTCAGGTTGCCACGCTGGCTGACACAGGACATGCGACCAAGGATGCCCGCCATGCCCTCCGCCGTGCCGCATCACGGCCCCGTTGGCCACCCATTGTGTAGAGCATGCATCCAACCGGCCCGGATGAGCCGGTGTCTCCGACCGCGGACACAAGTCGGACACAACGCCGGTGACTCTGCCGTCCATCGTGCGCCCTCTCGGTTGCCAAACGTTTTTCTCCCAGCCGTCTCGTGTCTCTAACATATTTGGCCCGTGCGCCCCGTTGTTCCACAGCTCCGCTGGCCGTCTGTCGCCGGCCGGCTGCACACCACGGCGCGAGCTGCACAAGATATGCGTCCTGCCAGTACAGCGGATGTGCGAGCCGCCGCCACACGAGCTCCATGCACAAACTTTGATCACATACCACATGAAAGGCAAAATGATCTTTTCAGGTGTCATTTAACATCGTTGAGGCTTAAAACGGATGAAAGTGTCATAAAGGGCAAAAAAAATTAGAGTCGATATTAGATAGGGAAGAAAAAGTTTTTCGGTGTCAAATAGGGAAACAACATTTAAGATAGTGTTAAATAAGGAATTCTTTCTTAAACACAACCTCGGGCAAGCTCCTCCCGTCCGCTCACTATTTAAAGGAGGCCAGATGCCGGGCAAGAATCACACCACTCTGCGGTTCCCCATCTCCTCCTTCCATCATTTTCTTCGCCCTTTCGATGGCATCCGACGAGTAGGAAGAGATGTTCTCTGGCATAACATGCACTCCATCTCCTGTTTCGTGATAACTCACCTTTGTTTTGACTGTGAGGACTCAAGTTCGCGTACTATTTTCAAATACATGAACTTTTCCTAAATTCACATACTTTTCTCACGTTCGCGTATTTTTTTCAAATCTGTCAACTTTTCTGAAATCCATATACTTTTCTTAAATTTGCATACATTTTTCAAGTATATGTAATTTTTCAAATTCACGTACTTTATTTGGAAAAAGTTCGTGAACTTGTAAAAATTTGTGAACTTTTAAACAGTATGTGGATTTGAAAAAAGTATGCATACTTGAAAAAGGTACGAGGATCTCAAAAAGGTATGCGAATTGGAAAACGCACATGGATTTAAAAAAACACGCGAACTTGAATAAATTATGTGAATTTCAAAAGTTCATGGGTTTGAATAAGTACCATGGTTAAAGTATGCGAATTTGATAAAATTACGTGTACTTGAAAAAAGTACGCGGCTTTGAAAAAAAACAAGGATTTAAAAAATGCGAGAATTTTGGAAGTACATGAACTTGTAAAAAGTATAGATACCTGAAAAAATAAATCTGAATTTAAAAAAAGTTCATGGATTTGAAATAAACTACATGAATTTGAGTCAGCACGGTCAAAACTGGGGTGAGTCAACACCAAAATCGGTCAAAACAAAGACCAGGGAAGAACCTTGTCTAGTTTCAGTAGTTGGGGAGAGGGGCGGAGGTTGTTTGATTCTGGTGTTGATGTACCAAATCTAAACTCCGTGAAGAGCTGAGGGATGAAAATTATACTTTTCTCTTTTCTCAATAATCAAGATTATGTTCACAACGACAGCTTGGAGAAACATATATGTTCACAACGACATTTCGTCCATTTTTATATATAATTATTATCAAACGCGATCGGAGAAACATATGTGTATGTGTAAACTAAGAAACGATTTGTCTTTCTTCGTTCTCATTTTGGCTTTCTAGAGGAAAGAATGATTCACGCCGGTCGCCGGGCAGCGGAACAATGATGCCGGTGAGAGGGGCAACGGCCCGATGCCTTCGAGACGTCCGGCACAAGCATGCCCTGCCTGCCATGTCAGGCACGTCGCCGAAGCAAAGTGATGAGGCTACGTGTCCGCGACACCACCCAGCCTTACTTTCCTCTCCCCATCATTCCACACGCCTCCAATCCACCCGTCGATATCATTTTCCGACGTGCTCAAGGCACTATATATCCCTGTCTCGTCTATCAACCTCTGAAGACAAAACACTGATTCTACAGATATACATAATAGGTAGTCGATCTGGAGGTGTTCGTCCAGCTAAAGGAAAGATGGGGAAGCCGGAAGCGTTGGCTGCAGTGCTAGTAGCTCTTGCCTCGGTTCTTGGCCTCGTGTCCGGCGGCAACTTCTTGGAGGAATGCGACGCTACGTGGGAGCCCCAGAACTGCTGGACCTATGACGGCGGCAACAGCCTCTCCCTCGCCCTCGTCAGCAACTCCTCAGGTCTTTCTTCAACCTCAGAACTTCTGTATTTTTCATGGAGTTCTCTTCTGAATGAATGAATGTTTGGGTGGTTAGGCTCGATGATCCGGTCCAAGCGGCAGTTTATATACGGGACGGTGTCGACCATGATCCAGCTCGTTAAGGGCGACTCCGCTGGCACCGTCACGACGTACTACGTAAGTAGCCGGCCTGCTCCCAATCATCTTATCTGCACCGACTTTTGTTTTCTGGTCCATATACCTATATATTCTCCAAGGATTGATTGATACTGTTGTTCGATTCAGACATCCTCGGTGGGGGACGACCACGACGAGATCGACTTCGAGTTCCTGGGGAACGAGACGGGGCAGCCCTACACGCTGCACACCAACG